TCATAAATAAGTTCAACGTCCAAAACATCCCAGACGTTTACACAAACTCAACTTACTGACCTTAAAACCATCACACCATTTACTTTTATCAGTCATTTACAAAGAACCCAATAATTATAAACAAAGGAAATGAAGGCCAACAACAGTCTTCCTGTTGGAAACACAAACTGAAAATGGAACAATTTTGTCTTATTCTTTATCTTCCATTTTAACTTGTTCTAATTTTGTCAACTGTTTTTGTATTTACAAAAAAAAAAAAGAGGTTACGGAATTAATGTCATGGCCAACATTAGTTTTGCACTTGCATCATTTCATAGTTTAGATTTTTTTTTTCTTACCTTAGATTTTGGAGTTGGAATTTGAACCCACTGTCATTTTCTACCTGAAAGGGGGGAAAGTTCATCCCCGTTGTGAAAGTGAAGTCAATTTTCTATAACCTAATCGCTATCTGCTCTGACGAAATGACCAGTAAGAGGTCGCTTAGAGCTCTGACGGTTTGATCAGGGGGTCAAATTTTACAGCAGCTGTAAGCAGTGAAAACATGGATCAGAACAAAAACGCACAGAAAATAAAAAAGTTTTCAGAAAATATTAACTTATATTTGCGCTGTCCTTTTTATCATTTATCGTAATAATTGATTTAAAAAATTACCAAAACACACAAACAAGTTGACAAACACACAGTTTGCAGAATATAACAGTAGTGGTAAAATGACCTGTAATCCAGATTAGTTGTTCTGGGAGATGAAGTCAATGAAAAGACCAACAAAGACCATCGTCTTCAAAACAACTCCAGACCCAAAATTTCACCACTGGTTCTGTGAATGGTATTTTGAACCACCGTCACTTTAGCATTGGGTGGTTATTTAAACAGGAAAAGTGTGTTAGGAGACAATATGCCACCAATGTCATGTAAAAACCTCATTGTTTTCTTCCTTTTTCCCCCCTTTTCCAATTTCCCCCCCCTGTGCCTTCGCCCCTAATTGCCACTTGAGTCATTCCTACTTCCATTTTTCATCCGCACCATAATCACTTTAAAACCACATACTCATTACGTTTTATAGCCAAATTTTCCAGTATTATGCCATTTTCTAATTCTTTGTCTCTCTCCACTTGGATGTTTGGATCTGATGCGATCTGTTGAGCCATTTTGTCAATGTGTTCACTCACTCATCAAGCTTCAGTCTTTTGTACAGCATGTCTAACCCCACACTGCAAGGCAGCCAGACCTGCTGCATTGTTTGCCAAGACAGGAAAAGATATGTTCATAAAATAAAAAATAAATTAAAAAACACAGCAATGGCAGAAAGTCCTGTGGCAGCTTTGTGTAAAAATCCACCTCAGACTGTAGCATCAGCCTCAGAGAGCAAATAATCTGGATTTAAGATGAATACAGAAGTAAAGAGAGTCATGTGCTACAGGTAAAAAAATAAAAAATAAACACCTTTTAGCAGAACTTCTTTTAAAAATCCAGAGCTCTTCCTTTAAGCTCGTCCAGGTCGCTGATTTATTTGACCCTGGACTTTTTCAGCCCAAGTTCTGCCTCAACAAAACGCTTTCGGTCATTCCACCTGATCAACCTCAGCTATGTTTCCACGCCTTCATGCCAACTTTTTTTTTTTTTTCACCTTTCGCTTTTCAAATGCAATTTCACATTGTTTACAAAAAAGGCAACATGACTTTCTTCTGTGTCTATTCAATGGAAATTTGCTTGGGGGGGAGGGGTGGGAGGAGAGATGGGAATGTCAATCAACAGGGTGGAGGGAACGGTGTGTGCAGCAGAAGCAGGAGGAAAAGGAGGAGGCTGTGGATCAGGACCGAGGACAGCTCCCGGTGGACGTCTGTGTACTCGCTTTGCCGCGTTGCTAAATGGAAGTCTGCTCTTGTTCAAAACACACACACACATAAAAACACACACTCGCTCTTTGCGCTAAGACGCACATTTTAGTGGGTGTACAAAAAAGAAATGGTTTCAATCAAACGCATCCAACCACACACACACACACACACACACACACAGAGAGAGAGAGAGAGAGAAGCGTGATTCTTGTCCAGGCTCTAACAACAATTTAGTAATCAGCTATTAGCTCAGTCCCATTTCCCCTCTTCATCCATCTCCACTAATGGATTCCCAAGGCTTCGACCAAGCTTTGTGTATCTCCTCCTCCCTCCTCTTACTAGGGGCGGTGCAGGAGGGGCGGGGGACAGAAGAGAGCCTAAAAGAGGGAGAAAGCCCACATAAAACCAAGGAGATAGAGAACTTTACGTCTCTCTCTCTCTTTCTCTCTCTCTGCTGCTTGATCAATAGGAATTTAATGGACAAGGATTGAGTTCAGGGAGTTCATGCTTGCCAACGTGCCTGAGGGGCTGAGCACATGCACGCTGCGAAGCAGGCAGGGAGGCTCACACACACACACACACACACACACACACACACACGCACTCATTCAATTTCATGTTCTTTCCCCATGGCACACACGTACACACACACACACACAAACACGCTGGCGCACCTCATGCTGCCAAATGCTCTCACACAAAACACAAGTTGTGAAAAAAAAGAAAAAAAAAAAGCTACCAGCTGAATTGCAAATGCTGTAAAGTCAATGGATTATAAGATCCAGGCTGAGTTTGCTCTGATACAGACTGAAACCGTGATGCACTGATTATTGAATTACACAGAGAGAGAGAGAGAGAGAGAAAGAGAAAGAGAGAGAGAGGGTTGGCATAAGGGTGGGGTTGGAGGGGAAGGTGGGTGTCTGGATGCAGGAGAAAGCTTGAATATTTCATTGATGCGAAGCTAAAACAGCAATCAATTGAAGAGGACATCGCGTTCGAGGAGCACACCCTCCCATCCGGGCTTCTGCTTTAGAAACGGGTCGAGTTAAAAAGCCGTGTTTACATTTCTGAGAAAAGAAAAAAAAAGGAGAAAAAGAAGAAAAAGAGAAAAAAAAGGCAGGCGTTGAAACTTCTGCTAAAAACATGAAAGGGAATGCCAAAGGAAGGCCTGGAGAGCCTGACTGGACGTCCACAAGCAGCTGGTGACTGGTGCCAGTGTTGCTATATCAATGTTTGATTATAAAAATAAAACAAAGCAAAAAAAAAAAAAAAAAAAAAACCCTCTCAAACTCTAGGAGTGTAGTGTTAGGGAACTCTACACTGATACCGTGTTGATACTGGTGCAACAGTTTGTTCCCACAGATCTTAAGTTTAAACATTTTTTAGTAATTATCAGTTTAACAGTTTGATTTGTAAAATTTAAACTCATTAGTTTCATCGTTACTGATCTAGTTTGATGTGAAGACCTTTTCCATGACAACCACTAAGGTGTGCCGTTCTCATGGCAACAACTGCCTTGGAGGTAAGAAGCTGAGCTAGCTAGCAAATTGGACATTAAGTACCAGCACTGTTGCTAAGCTATTCAAACCTGGATACACACTTTGCTTCTTCATCAAGCACAAGTTTTTATTATGCTTCTTAACTGTTACTATGGTGACATGTTTTATCATAATTCAACCAAAATAGGCATATCGACCTAGCTTATTGCTAACAGCTAATAGCTAAAGACTGACTGAACCAACCTCTCCAGGTAAAATCTAATAAAAAATATTTTCAGTAGGTTTAATAGGAATTTAGTTGCTATTTAAAAACAAAATTGCTCTTGTGGATATTATTTAATAGCTTAATATTTAATTCCCACCAAAATTGTTTCTTTTAAAGTGTGGTCTTTATGTAATAAATAGCAAATGATTGGTGACCAATGCGAAAACACCAAAAGAAATTCACTTAAAAAAAAAAGTCTATTTCAATGCTAACGTCACTTTAGGAAGCTGCAGCTTCTTGACCATAAAGCGGTTGCTGGCAATGAACGACACATCTTAGCTCTGGTTGTCAGGGAAACGCTAACATGCCACGTTGTACGACTAGATGTACAAAAAAAAAAAGAAAAAAAAGAAAGGGTATTAATTCTGTAACAAGCTTGAATCACGTCTTTTGTTCCTTTTAGCAATCAAGAGAATCACTGCAATGGCATTTCTAATGTGAAATTAATGTAGTTTAGCAAGTAAATAACAACAATTGATTGGAAATGTACATTATCTTTTGCATATGCTTTTTCTCTGTCAAATGTAAACGATTCCGAACCAAACGTGGACGTTTTAACGGGGATTTTTAATGTGTGTTATCAACCTTACCGTCCACTGCTGGACACCGACTACGAACAACAATACGGTTGACAGAACCGGAACCAAAATGTTCAGGTATTTAAAAAAAAAAAAATCTGGGCCCCCCCCCCCCACCCCCCGGATTTACAGGTGACGATAACACCTCGAATACATTTAGAAATAAATTCAACACCGTCCAAAACGTCACAGTGCAACTCCTTTTTTTAAAATCATCTTTTGAAAGCGAAACTCTAAAGTCACTCCCATCCGCAGCGCGAGCGCACGAGCCGCAGCGAAAACGTCAAGCAGCAACAAGCGTTCAACTCTTTTCATCCGGCAGAAGTCTGAGCGCGGGGAGGGGTGCGGGGCTGCTCGGGAACAAGTTGGAAAATAGTACGGGAGAAAAAAGAAAAGAAGAAGAAGAAGCAATGAATGAACGGATAAAGAGAATGGAGAGATGGAAAAAAAAAAGAAGAAGGCTTCGCCATGACACCGGTCATCTGACTCGACTCTGGCGCTGTTTTCTTCCTTCCAGCCTCCCTGTGTGGATTTTTTTTTTCTTTTTTTTTTTCACCAACGATGATCCAGCATTTGAATAAAGCCATCCGCGTGACAGGACTGACAGCTAACCGCTGCGCGCTACGCTGGAGCCATATTGGCCCCACGCTTAGTGCCTGTGGATTAATTTTGCTCCACAGCAGTCAAGTCAAACGGACTGCGGTCAGAACGGCAGCGTGGAGCATCATCATCATCACCATCACCATCATCATCACCATCATCCTCATCCTCAGCAGCAGCAGCAGCATCTTCATCTCTGGAGGACCGGGTCCATACTCACCCCCCATTGTTGGTGGAAGTCTGTCAGTTCCTCTCCGCGCAACTCAAGTCGACGGCTGCGTGTTGGCAATATCTGGAAATCACACTGAACAGAGAAAAAGAGAGAGAGAGAGAGAGAGAGAGAGAGAGAGAGAGAGGGGGAGAGAGGAAAAGAGGGGAAACGCCCCCCGAACACACACACTCTCTCTCTCTTTTTTGCTTTCCATTCTCAGAAAAAAGAGAGAAAAGAAAAGAAAAAAGAGCCTGCTCTTTTCCCTTACGATTAAAAAGAAAGTGAAGGGATAACAATAGGAACAGTTTTTAAAAAATCAGAGGTAGATATACACTCCACCCTTTAGATCCTGGAATCTCTGGCTCTGCTACTGCGATCACCTCTCTCTCTCTCTCTCTCTCTCTCTCTCTCTCTCTCTCTCTCTGTCCTCCCATTGTTGCGAATCAAGCGTGGTCAAAGGGGCGCGGCGGCGGCACGGAGGAGAAATGGATGAAGCCTCCCTCCCTCCCCCCCTCCCTCCCCTCACTCGCTCACTCGGTGCCGGTGGAGGGGATGCGCACTGATCAGGATGTGGAGACAGTTCAGACACTGGCTCAGCTTCTGGGCGTTGGTCTGATGTTATAGGAGTAATTGTCATAATAACAGTAGATAAGTGAAATCCTTCGCTTGTGACACGCACTGACAAAATGACAAAAACACCCGGGGGAATCAGAGGGAGAATCAGCAAAATCCTGTTCGGTTACATTTCGATGCGTTTCTGTTGATTCAACAGATTAAAGACACAAATGTATCGGATAAGATTTGTAAAGTGTAAAAAGAGAGGAAGGAAGGAAAAAACAGCAGGGAAGGAAAGAAGAACTTACACAATGAGTGAAGAAACGAAAGGGCGAAGGAAGGAAGTACACAAGCAATGTTGAGAGAATGAAAGAAAAAGGGAAAAAAGAAAGGAAGACACTTCAAAGAAAGAAAGGACACAAGGGATGAATTAAGACAGAACAAAAGAAATCAAGGACAGAAACAAAGGAGCCTGGTAACAAGGATGGAAGGTTAGGAAGAAGGAAGCAAGGATGCATAGGCATCAAGAGGACAAGAAGGAAGGACACAAGGAAAGGAAAGAAGATAGGAAGCAAAAAAGGTTAAGAAGGCAGGAATGAGAGGAAGCAATGGGACAAAGAAGGACTAGAGTTAGGTCACAAGGAAGGATAAAAAGAGGATAGGCAATGTTTCAATGAATGTGAAACAGCTTCAGCTCAGAGACAGATATATGTATATATATTTAAGGATTTAGTGTCTTATTTTCTGCACTTCTCCTAAAGAATGTGAAAAAAAATGTCAGAAGACATCTTTCTTTCCGTGAGTGCTTGGCTCTTCGACTCCCATTGGCTGATGGGGCCCTCATGACGACTCTGTCCTTGACAGGGTATTCACGAGAACCAATCAGAGAGAAACAAAAGCCGTGAAAAAGTCTTTCCCAGATATGTCAGAACCAAGTATGATCGTTTTGCCAGATTCATAAACATTGTTTTCTTCTAGAATAGAATAGAAATATCCTTTGTTGACCCACAATGGAGACATTCAGGTGTAAAAGCACCAAGTAGAAAAAAAAACTAAAATAAAACCATATGTAAAACTAAAAGAAAAGCAACACACTGTCCAGTAAGAGAGAAAGTACAACATGAATACGGTTCAGTTATCAAAAATAGCTCCAATCCAAAGGAATCTGCTAGTCACAAATAGTTTTTTTTTAATTTGTGAATTATAAAAACAACAACACAATATTTAAAATAAGTGAAAAGAAAACTGTCCAAACAACAGAGACGTGGATTACCAGCAGCAAAAGTTGTTTAAAATGAGTAAAACTGTGTAAATACCAGCAGGGATGTAAACAACGAGTTGGACTCGGAGTCTGACGGCTGCTGGGGGGAAGGATCTGCGGTAACGCTCCTTTGTGCACCCAGGATGCAGCAGTCTGTCTCTGCTTTGCCCCACTTGTCTGGTTTCTCTGCAACATTCCTGCTATGTTTCTTTAATAGAATATTCTGGATTACTCCCCCCTGTTCCCCCCACTCTCTAATGGCTGTTCCAGTATAAAAAACTGGTGAATCCAATTCCTCTCTCCCCAATTTTGTTCTCTCTCAAACATTACTTCTTAGAGACGTTAAAGCCGTGACGTCCCCTTTAACGCAAAACGTCTAAGAAACCTTCTCAGAGTTGCACCTCGGACAGCAGATGATACAGTGAATGTTCAGTTTCTTACTCAGATATCTCCCCAGCTGAAGCAGAGGTCTGCTGAATTGGTGCCGCCATCTTCCGCTTCAGCTCGTTGTCTTTCTTTTTTTTCTAAATTAAATTATTAGGAAGTAGACCGTAGTGTGATTTAATTAAATTCCTTAATTATGTTGATTAGTAGATCTGGATGGTTTAATCAATGAAGTGATAGTAAATAAATCTTAATTCAACAGGAAGGGAAACAATTTATCTCTCAGAGAGAGATTTTGATACATTTATTAGGACACTGATTTATTATGCACATTAAAAGAGTTTAATGTAGCTGCTATACTCTTTTTAAATGTGTTTTTTTTAAATATAGTATATTAAATAAAGCTTCATTGGCCCTGAAGTTTCCCCACAACCAGGATGTGTGCATCGTCAGTGTTCCTCCTTTTTTTTTCTGGTCTTAATTCCATTAGGATACAATGCGCACATTAAACAATATCTCTAACTGAGGCTTGGAAATTATTCAAATGTAACCTTCACCAAAAGTGCTCAGATGATAAACCTGCGCACCGGGAGACACTCATTAGGCGGTGGCAGGCTGCCTGCGCGGAGGGCTCCGCTTTGGAGCCGCTTGCCCCGAACATGACCGCGTTGCGCGTCGGGCTAATTAACTTTTCACAATTACAGATGGTCCTGCATTTAAATTCTAGCCCTGGATGATCGGCATTCTCTCTGATTAACTCTGGAGGCCGCCTCCTTTGGTTAAAAAAAGAAAGAAAAGAAATCCTAATTTGGGGGGTTTCGTCTCTCGCCTCTTCCCTCCCGGTTTTTTTTTATTTATTTTATTCCTTAAAAATAAGTCTTTTTCATCAGAGGCACACGGTGGGAGCAGCTGTTGCACAGGTGAAGGTCTTTTTCTTTTTCTCCTTTGTGTTTGAGTTTGTAGGAGGTGAAATGATAAATTCCACAAATTTCTAGCTTCTCTTTGTGAGTTAAAACTTGATTCCTGCTGCGGTTTATTTCAGATGGAGGGCCTTGCAGTGTTCGGACGCCACATGTTCTGTGGCATTGCAAACACAAAGTTCGCAAATTTAAAGTGAAATAAACAGATTTAGGTGTGGACTGAGGCACTTTTAGCACATGGATATGCTTTGAACACTGTGGCTCTGGCTGTGTACAGTCACAGTCACACTGGAAGGTGAACATCCACCCGAGTCGAAGTCTTTTGCAGCCTCCCACAAGTTTTCCTTCAGATTTCACATTATCTGTGTTTCCATCAGCATTTTTTATATGCATTTTGAAGGATCACATTAGAAAATGATGGAAACAACAAAATGCAAACTAACTTCCTGAATTTTGCTAAGTTTTTACACTCGCTTGAGGCAGATTTTGGTTTTTCTGAAAAAGAGTCAAAGCAGCAAAATGTAACTTTTGTAAAATAAATGTTTTTACGAGTTTGATGAATCTGTCACTACGTCGTATGGTATGAAACAGATAATCTGTAGAAAGTTTGAGCTTTCTCCGAGCACTAACTAGAAACAATCAATCATCCTCTATATGGCGCTGTTTCCACCCCTTACTGTATGAAATGCTGAAGCTAGCAGAGCCTGTTGTGAATGCTAAGGCTGTTTTAGCCACCAACAATGGTAAGTTGTTTGTCCTCCACCTCCTCATTGTGCTGGCTGCACATTTAGCAGCCAGTACATGAGGATGATTGACAGCGCCAAGACCCTACTTCTGTCAACACACACTGACAACATGGTGACAGTTTTAACAAGTATCATCATCATCTTAATGTGCACATTAATGCACTAAATGGGAGATGGAAACATATCCACTGAATAAGTCCTGATGTGGATCTGTGCCTTACCAGAGGTACGAAATTCTGAAAAACTTATTTGTGGATTGATTTTTGGGGTGATGGTGAAATTCCCTCTCCTGAGCTGTAGTTTTCTGCTGCTCCTCCAAAGGTAACATAAAATTCTAACAACAATCAATTTTTTCCTTCTTTTTTTGAAAAAAAAAAAAAAAGCTTCTTTTTTAATATGACAAAAAAGGAATCTTTTTTTGTCATAAAAGCTTGTCAAAAGTATGAATACTTTTGCCATGCAGTCTAAACCAGATTTAAGCCTTCAGCTTACATGTTAAGGTTATTACAAGCAGTTTGTTATTAAATAACATCAACTGAGGGTCCTGACAATGATGATGATATGACAAGGTTGATTGTTTGAGTTTGTCAGTGTGTGTGTGTGTGTGTGTGTACAGTGGCCCACAGTGTGCATGGCGGCTCCCTGACAGCGACTTCTCAGTGACTGGCTCCGTATCCGTCCTAATCCAATCCCATGGGATTTCCAGCCATTGAATTTTCCCCCCAGCAAGCGGACCGGCAGCTTCAGCGGGATCTGCGCTTCCCAAATCTCCACCAAACCTCGCCTTATCCGCCGAGGGATTACACAGCTCAGCTCCCAGGGCAGCCGCAAGAGCAGAGGTGTAGTGTACTTCCAGAGGAGTGGAAGTGGGAGTGGAAGTGAGACGGGAGGGAGGGGAAGTGAGACGGGAGGGAGGGGAAGTGCTACTGCTGCTGTGCTGCTGTAAGTGCGGCGCCTTGCAGAAATGTTCAGACCTTCAACCGCGAGAGTCAGAACGATTACTGGGGCTTTATGCGACAGACCAAGCACAAGGTGGTGTGTAATTGCAATTTAATGCTACATTTAGTAGGAAGTAAAATCTCAAAAGTGTGGCCTGCATTTGTCTTTAATCCTTGTTTTATTGGATAAAAATATTTTGTGCAACAATCCCCACAGAAAAAAATTAGTGCGTTATGTCACGCTAATGCACAATTGTGATTTTATTGTCAATTTTTTTGCAAAAAATGGTTAAAATCGTTGGACTTAAGTGACTGCTGCTAGGTACCACCTGCAGGTGGCAGTATTTCTGACTTCTACTACACTGGGATCAAC